ATCATATAATTATAGAATACCTAAGAATCCAGAGAAACGTCAAAAATGGCTTGAAAGCATGGGATTAAATGGTACAGATATACCACAAAACGCAAAATTGTGCTCGTTACATTTTGAGGAAAGTGCCTTGACAGAAGAGCTGATTACTATATCAAAATCCGGCCTGGTGCCATTCCATTTGTATGTTAAATATAGAGTTAACTTAAATTATAAATATAATAACAAATATGTGATAGTAAAAAAAGAATATATTTTTTTACAGGAAAACGCAAGTGTGTGTAATGTAGAACCTCCTCGGAAAAAACTGAAGATACATCACACACAAATAAAGAATTTATACAAAGCTATTATTGATCCCAAGACAACTAAAAAAATATTTGACAGTGCCATTCCATTTGTATGTCAAATATAAAGAGTTAATTTAAATCATAAATATAATATTTAATACGTGATAGTTAAGAAAAAATATATTTTTTACAGGGAAACGCAAGTGTGAGTAATGTAGAACCTCCTCGGAAAAAACTGAAGGTACATCATACAATAGAAGAAGCCATTATTGATCCCAAGACAACTAAAGAAATATTTGACACATACACAGAACAAGGTATATTTATAAGATTTATTAATGAAAATATAGATTTTTATAAACTTGATGCAATAGCAGAGAATAATCTGAATAATTATTATAATGATTATTTGTAGAAACTGTACACACGCGGTCATTTTAATACAAGATAAATCTTGTACAATAGATTGCCATTCTAATATTTTTGCAACAGCAACGACAGAAAATACTGTTATTAGTACATCTAGCACTTATCAAGGTAATTATTCTCTCTTATTAAGATAATTAGTTTATTTTCTTGAAACAAATAATTGCAAATATTAAATTCCATTAAATTATTGTATATTTTTATATATAGGGTTTGATGTAGTTCCCCAAATAAATACACCACCCGAAGTAAAACATCAGGGAACGGCTGTTTCGCCACATTTATCGGAAGATACGCCGAGAAAACGAATATTGAGAGCCGCACTGACCAACACAAGAAAATATTTGAACAAGAAATTAAAATCTCTGCAACAAAAATACCGAAGGTCCACGAAGCGCATTGCAAATTTAAAAAACGTCTTGGCAGCTTTGAAGAAGAAACGTCTTTTTGATCCACACCAGCTGGACATTTTAAATGACCTAGGTACATTTAATAAGCAATTGTTAATGCGTCAAGATAGTAAGATTCATAAAACACGAATGCGTAAACAATATGAACCCGAGTTAAGATCGTTCGCTTTAACTTTACATTTTTACTCGTCGCATGCGTACGCATTTGTCAGAAATAAATTTAATAATTATGCATATTAAGACCCCACCCGCCAATGACCTTGACCTTGACATATGTCACCCTCCTGAGTGACCTTCAAAAGTTTTTAGCTGGCGGTCGTTATTCGTTAAAAAGTTATTAACAAAAAAAGTTTCGAAAATATAGCAGCTATTTTGAGTATTGAGAGGCATAAACGACCAATATTACGTCTTTTTTTTTAAGTAGAGAATATCTCGTTTCGCGTAAAAGTTGCTGCTTTACCAAAACACAACATTTAAAGCAGTAAATTGTTGATAAATTAAAGTCTTTTTGTTAAAGCAGAGAATACTTTATTTTGCGAAAAGTCGCTGCTTTACCAAAAAAAAAATTACAGGACAAAATAATAGTATACATATAGGGCGAAATTTGTTTAAAAAAAAAAACACTTTTAACGAAAGAATTGATGCTTTCTTTCGTATTATGCGTAGAATGTATTTGCTGTAAAATTAATACACATAATAACATTTAAATTACAAACACTGTCTAAGGCCGGTATTCATAGTCGGTTCTTATATTTAAGACCGTCTTAAGTCATCTTAAGATGTCATTAACTAATCACAGAGCCGTATTAGCATCTTAAGATATTACTTAAGACGGTCTTGAAATAAGATCTGACTATGAATACCGGCCTAATTCATTATGTAATATATATAAACAAGCTTGTAAAGCGCGAACCCATGTGACAACTCATCGTCTCGCGTGGAAAGTATATGCGTGAACAGTATTTCGACATATATATTAGTCATTTATGCCTTCCAATACTCACATATATTCAATATACAATTTATCAACATACTGCTTTAAATGTTGCATTTTGGTAAAGCAGCGACTTTCTCGCGAAATAAAGTACTCTCTGCTTTAACAAAAAGACTTCAATTTATCAAGAATTTACTGCTTTAAATGTTGCGTTTTGGTAAAGCAGCGACTTTCTCGCGAAATAAAGTATTCTCTGCTTTAACAAAAAGGCTTCAATTTATCAACAATTTACTGCTTTAAATGTTGTGTTTTGGTGAAGCAGCGACTTTCTCGCGAAATAAAGTATAATATTCACTGCATTAACAAAAAGACTTTAATTTATCAACAATTTACTGCTTTAAATGTTGTGTTTTGGTAAAGTAGCGACTTTGTCGCAAAATAAAGTATTCTCTGCTTTAAAAAAAAAACGTAATATTAGTCGTTTATGCCTTCCAATACTCAAAATAGCTGCTATATTTTTTAAACTTTTTTTTATTAATAACTTTTTAACGAATAACGACCGCCGGGTAAAAACTTCTGAAGGTCACTCAGGAGGGTGACCTTGACAACATTGTCAAGATCAAGGTCATTGGCGAATGGGGTCTTAATATGCATAATTACCAAAAATTTAATACATGTTTGCCTCATCCTAAGACAATTTATGAGTGGTATAAATCGATTAACGGCGAGCCGGGTTTTAATGAGGAAGCATTACAGTCGATCAAACAACTTGCCGAGCTAGTCAATTATCCTCTTTTCGGCGTTCTTATATTCGACGAAATGGCCATAAGACGACATGTCGAATATGACGGTAAAAATTTGACAAAACTTCATGTAATCCAAATAAACAAAGGGTTTTACATTTAGCTAATAAGTTAAAAACACAACATATAAATTATCACAAACAAAAAATGAAAGTAATACTTGCGGCGCAAGTGTTTAGTGCCTCCGTAGCTGAAGCAATAGACTTTTGTGAAAATGAATTAAAATATCCCGACTTCGCAGATTCGGCAGCAACAACACGATTCATACGATTAATAAATGACATCTTTGATATCTTAAATTCGAGGAATATGAAACAAAGAGGATTTAAACAACCGTTGCATGAAAATAATAGCTCTATTATTATTAACAAATTAAACGAAGGTTATAATTATCTTTCGCAATTGCGAACAACGAAAAATGGTTTATTGTTATGTCAGTCAGAAAAACAAATGTGGAGTGATTGGTTTTATGATGTGTATAAAAAGTCTAGTAATTTACAACGATTTAGTTGTTAGTCAAGACATTCTCAAATATATACCGTGCTATAAATTTAGTCAGGATCACATTGAATTGTTTTTTGGTTGCATAAGAGCTCAGGGAGGTTGCAACAACAATCCAACAACTCGGCAATTTAAAGCTGCTTATAAAAAACTTCTTATCCATACAGAGATTGCAGATATAAAAACCGGTAATTGCATTCCTTTAGATGCTATTGCAATTTTACACGTTTCTTCGAATCCTGAAGTTATTATTAATCAGTCGACTCCAACATCACGTTTATTCGAGGACACCGGTTGTGAAGATAATGATAATTTAGATTTACCATTTTGCCAGGTATAGTTCAACTTTCTCAATGTTCTACTCGAATAATTGCTTACATTGCTGGTTTCGTTGTTCGCCATTTGAAAAAAGTAATACGTTGTGACACTTGTGTCGAGGTTCTTTGTGGCAATGAAACACATCGGGAATGCTCTCTTATTAATATTAAAAATCGCGGAGGATTGACGCTACCTTTGCATGACGTAATTACTGCATGACGGAAACTGTTATTCATTTTGCTTTACGCAAAAGTGGCGGCAAGCGTTTATTAAAACAAATGACTAAAGCTTTTCTTTTACATCAAGTAATGCACCGTTTTATTGGAAACCATAATGTATTTCACGGTTTGGAACAGCATTCCTGCGATCAAACTCCGCTGCAAAATCATGTTCATCTTACAAGAGCGGTCGCGTCTAAATACATTAAAATTCGACTTTACTTTATAGGGCGTAGCATAACCGATAACGTAAATAATGTAAGTATAAGGCAACAATTTAACAAAATAGTATTGTTTAAAGGACAATAATGAAGGATAATATTTTTAATATATACATTGTTTGATTAATCATATTATATGCGAAGATGCGATACAGAGTTAAGCTTACGATTGATGTATTAAAAAACTCATTAAAAATTTATTGCTATATTTTATATTTTTAATAAATCGTATAAAAGAGTATGTAACAAATATTTTATTTAATTAATTATAACTTGTTATCCTTCACATTTATTATTTAGGTAAAAGTTTACAATAACTTACACCGCTCGGATTACTCTGACCTTGACATATGTTGTCAAGGACATGATTCTGAGTAACTTTTCCTTATAACTTAATCGGCGGTCGCTGCTTATTAAAAAGTTATAAACAAAAAAAGTTTGAAAAATATAGCAGCTATTTTGAGTATTGGAAGGCATAAATGACTAATATATATGTCGAAATAGTTCACGCATACACTTTTCACGCGAACCGAGGTTCACCCACACCCCCCCTGCTTTCGGGGGAGGTGCGGTAGCCCCTCCCTCGCTTACGTGTGTACTGTTTGGTAAATATTGGCTATGGTAAACAAGCTTGTAAGCACATCATATGTAAAGAAATAGTTAAAAAAGCGTTTTTTTCCTAGATAAAGAAAAAGAACGTTTTTTTTTATCAACGTTTATCAAGTGGATATTTTAACATTTTATTTTCGTAAAAAACATTTCTAGAAACCGATGTGTCGTACATTGGACCTATTTTTGCCGTCAATATATAACCCAGATAGCCAAATGCTGTGAGTTTGCTGCCATGTTGCCAACAAGCAGCTTGTCGTTAATGCAACTAATTTTGACAAACTCGGGACAAGGTGAGACAGCATTATGCTTGTCGGGTTAAACTCATATGAATTATATTTCTATTAACAGCAAATTGATTGCAACGTGACAGCATCAATTTGTGAGGGATTTGTGACAATTTCATATTGTCAACACTTCGTTAGCAACGAGATACAATTGGGTTGTTGAAAAAAAATTATATATATATATATATATATATTTTTTTTTTTTATGTAAACGTGTATTAATAACACAAAAATTAAAAAAAAAATTTTTTTGTGTAAACCTGTAAATTATTATTAATAATTTTATCGACGTAAGAATTCAAGTTTTGTCACGTGATCATGAAACGCCACGTGATTGGCATACGGGCTCGTGACGTCACGATGTTATATGGTCACGCCACGAAGACTTGATACGATGTGTTAATAGAATTACAGCTCTCCGAAACGACTTATAATTATTATTAATAGGGGAGACCGGGGCCATGTGTCCATACTTTACGCTTTTTTCAAGTTTACTAAAAAACTAATAAAGATATTTGGCTAAAATTTTAATTGTATAATTTTTCAACCTTTTTATTTAAAAAAAAAAAAACATTAGAATCGTTGATTTTTTAACATTTTAAAGAGGCGAATTTTTTAAGTGAACAAGTCAAGCGTAGACAGCCCCATATGCGGGGCTATCTGTCTACATAATAAAAAACATATTATTTATATTAATTTCTATACTTATTTATAATATTATTTATTATTAATATATAATGTTGAAAAAACTGCCTAGTCGTTGAAGTCAGAGAAGTAGTAGGCACTTTGTGTAAATTTTTTAACAAGTTTCCTGCGAAGAGCTGACTTTTCTTTATACACGGTGGCATCAAACTGATTTTGAGTCCGTTGCAAAATCAATGTGATGAGTTTCTTTTGTCCCCTCAATTCTTTAATCTTTTTTTTTATTTGGGGCCTTTACTTTATTCTCGGCAGCGTTTGAAATAGAAAATACTCAATAATTTAAGACAAACTCATATATTTAACTTGACGTGTATTTTTAAAATAAAAATTTGGTGACGATTCTTGAATCGCAGGATCAACTAGTTGCTCTAGGTTACTTTTTTACAGTAGCGAGTAAGAGCCCGAACATTTATTTTAAAGTTTAACGCTGTTTTTACGAAAAGATTTTCGCTCAATTTTTATTCTTTTAATCGCTTTAAATATAATTTTATTGGATAGTCTGCCTTATCCGTTTTAAGGTAAGTCTTTATTCTTTTGTAGTTGCGCACCATTTATAAAAGAACAATTCATTGAAGTGTGGACACATTGCTCCATCAAAAATAGAACAGATAGCCCCGACCACGTTTTTCAGTCGTTATAACATGTTGCCACAATTTTAGGTAATGCGGAAGTAAGATTTGACGCTTCTCA